ATGATGATGATGAATCGGCTAGAGGCCGGCTGTTTGCTCTATTGGGGTAAAATTATTCTGTAATGTAAATAGTGTAATGTGTTGCGGAGCCAAGATTTGGTGTATAAAATGTGTCGACGTTAAACACACAAGACACAGCTAAAGATGAACAGCTAGAAACAATTTAACTAATTTCAAGTGTTTTCGGAAGTTTAAAGTTTAAAAAAAAAAAAGGTACACACATAAACAATCTTAGAGTTATTAAATTGCAACCGCGGTTGTAGGGTTTACAGTAAAAGATACAATCTCTCTTTAACTAGGGTTGTAGCGAAAGGGACAGTCTTAAAACTGTGGTTCTATTTACAGTGGAGGATGGAAGCTGTCGTTAATTGGAGTTGCATGCATGTATAGTGGAAGCTGCTTTCGGTCGTTAACTTGGGTTTGTGTTTCCACTGTATGATCTGACAGCTTATGCGGCCTGCTTTGTTTCAAACGTATTAGTGTTACAGGTGTTTTTAGAGTAACCAAACAAAGCCAAGGGAGGGATCCTGGTGCACGGGTAACATATGACTTCTACGTTACTACCCAGGTTTTGTGCTAGGGAGGGGAAGAAAACACTGACCATCGTCATGGGTTGTGATTCCCACTCCTCCTCATAGTACAAAACAAAACTGTCGTATGTAAAGACGGAAATGTGCCAACAGCAGCCGCGATTGAGTCGTGGTTAAGTGATCTTATCTGGCGAGACGAAGTCAGGTATTATTTTTTATCTGATTTCGCAAGTGCTCGAGGAAAGGAAAATTAAAAACAGCAAAATTGTTTTCCTTTGGGACTGCATGTCAGTCCCCCAGGGGGATCCACGAGACAACATAGAGAGAACTGACCCGCCAGCTAAATAGCCTCACAGAAAACAATCAAATCATTCTCCAGTGGATCCCGGTTCACTGCGGCATACCCGTAAATGAGTTAGCAGACAGACTTGCAAACAATGGAACAAAGGAGAAACAACGCTACAATCCATTGTCATTACCAGAAATCATAACACTTCAAGGCATTTAGGAGAGAACAGACTAACAGTAAACATCCAAAAGACCCCATCAGCAGACTCAACAGAAAGCTTACATACAACAAATTTCCGTCTACGAACAGGACACTGCTGGCTCAACTACCAAATGCATAAAATAAAGATTGTACAGTCCCCACAGTGTGCCCGTCAAACAGGACCACAAACACCTGAGCACATTCTTCAGACCTGCCCACTCTATCTACAACTTCGAAAAGACACCTGGCCTCAAGAGCAAGCTATGGGCAACCATGAAGGACCTGCTGCTGACATGCAAGTTCATAGAAGCAACCCGCCTGATGGTCTGATCTGAGCATACGAAACCGAACGCAAAGAAGAAGAAGAAGAGATTTTTTTCGCCAACAGTAGGACTTCGTTCGTAAAAAATTTAAAAACGGAAAGGCGACAAAGAAGTGAGTCAACCACCCTACTTTGTGTGTCATTGTGTAAAATATCATTCAAACAGACAGACGGACGGACAGACAGACATTGCAAAATGCATAGCCATGAACTTTTATTTCATATTCTTTCGGTAAAAAATAATTATGAAACTATCTGTAAATTTATTCAGCTTGAGGACCATTGATTAATAAAAACGTGATCGATGTCAGCTTATTTTAATGGGCTCTCGCCTGGCAGTGGATTAGCGTCTATTGATTACAGACATTGATCAGACTGCGCTAGCCAGCGTAACTACTGGCAACATTCAAAAGCGTTATGACTGGCTTTTTGCGCTGCCGTAACTTCTGGCCGAATATTGCCTCAAAGGGGATAATTTCCTTTGATTGTGTGTAACTCATTAATGTAAAGTGTAATACTTCAGGGGCGGTTATGAATGGGGCTTTCTTTAATATAAAGATGTCTATTTACTGGGTTACATTCAGTTATGTATACTTGTCGGCGATGTACAGATAATGTAATAAATCAACTAGTTGTAATTCTGGCACCTCTCCGTTTTTCCAGTCGATTGTGTTAACTTGGTTTAGCTTTATACGACAGACCAACATCATGGCACAATGGTAGAAACTAATAAGTGTTTCCTTCTACTTGTGACTCAAGCCTGAGTCTGAAGGCTATCAGCACAGTGTACGAGCTCCGTAACACCGGCGAGGATCCTGAAATACTTTTGGGTAGATTTTAAAACTGCAAATGTTGCCCGTTAGGCTACTCTATTTCGATTTCCAACTGCCAAGAGATTTTGTACGTGCGCAACCAAACATGCGGGCGTCCGGTCTTACTATCCAGAGACAAGGAAAATTACTAGAAGTCCACGTTAAAAAATCCCAACCCTAATAGGGGCTTGAATAACAATGTTATAGTGTTATATGGTGAACCACGGGATTCAGTCTATAGCGATGGCGAGTGTGATTAGCAAAACCTGTCTGCGTTAAGAAAAGTCTTTCACAATTATTAGAGCATATTTATGATAGTTATTTCAGCATGTTGTCGCCATCACATGAATTAGTTGTGCTTTTTCTCAGACGCTCAGCTCTGTCTTTTCTGCAAGCATCTTTTACTTTATCTCCGTTCTTTTCCTGAGTTTCCCCTAACCGTTAGGCTAACGCAACACGGTTCATGGTATTTGGTTTCAACAAAACATGTTTCGTCCATCACCCGTTTGCGCACGAACACGCACGCTCACGCGCGCGCACGCACGCACACACACACACACACATATATATATTATATATATATATATATATATATATATATATATATAGTATATATGCCCGGCTCGCTAGCCTAGTTGGCTAAACCGGACTACGCAGTGACTGGGTGACGAACTCGTTGTGATCCGGGTTCACGCCCGGGGGTAGGCAGAAAAGCCACATTTCTCCCAGATTTACAATACCTATCCTGGAATCAAGGCCGAAGGGTTGCGTTATCCATAATACCGAGCCGAAGGGTTAACAACTCATGGTTTATGGATACAAAAATATAGTATATATAGTAGTAGATGCGCTGCTCCACTGATATAACTGCTGTAACGTTTGACGGGGTTTCCAGGATATACGCCTCCGTGGCCTAATGGATAAGGCATCGGCCTCCTAAGCCGGGGATTGCGGGTTCGAGTCCCGTCGGAGGTGTCAATTTTTTTAAGGGTGCTAGGTGGTCCCGAGGCATGGTGTCCGCCTCGAGTGCTAGAGGTTCCTTGTTCAATCACCGATAAGGGCTGGGCTTTTTCCACGTAGACTTGGACTTCTAGTATTTCTCCCGGTCTCTGGGTAGTGAGATCGGACGCCCGTATGCATTTTTGCGGACGTAAATAATCCCTTGGCCGTTGGAAATCGAAAAGTGTAGACTAACGGCGTTGCCTGGGCACAATTTTCAGGTAAAAATCTACCCGAAGTATTTCAGGATCTACAGAGCCTGTGCACTGTGCTGAGCTTTTTCTGACTCAGACTTGAGTTAGAAGAAAGAACAGAGCACCCGTGTGCCATGATGTACATCCTTTGCTCAAACTTCTATATTTTTGAGATGCTAGTTAGTCACAGACTGCAGTTCTAGAAAAACATAAGAATAAGTTGAAGTTACCCTTAAAGAAAGTAGTCACCGTGGTGTGTGGTTTTTCAACCTTAATCTTACTGAAAAATTCTTAATCTCATCAAGTAACATTTTAAATTCAGTGGATAACATTCTTAATCTCATTTAATAACATGTTCAAGCAAACATTTTGTAATACTCCTTTGTTTATTGTCTTCTTATGCCAGGAATTCCTTCCATGTGTCTACATAATCATATCTTTAACTTCATCATTAATTCACTGTCAATGCTGTTTGTGCCAGACAGTAAACTAGAGTAAATGTAACTCTTGATCGTACATTGGGTTTAATGTTCATCACTTAACTCTCATATTTTCTTCTTCTTCTTCGCGTTCACAGGCTGTAAACTCAGGCAAAAAGTTCTAGTTGTTCGTCCACTTCTGGACTGCAGTCCTGTTCCAGAACCTGAGTGTTGCATGTGCATCCGTTTGACAGATCTGTATGCAGACTGTTGGTTCCTTGCCTCTCAGGCAGATACACTCTGACTTTGAAGGAAGCTCCCAATTAGTCAACTCTTATGATATGCTTTTGGGTAGGCAGTGGATCTATTCTTGTTTTTCCCATAGTAGGGCCCCGGAACCCACACGGGGGTCTCATATTTTAAATTCCCTTTTCGGGATTGTAACCAGATTCAGAAGTATTTCTTTGTATACCAAGAAACTATCAGTTTATTTTTTCACTGAAGCTGTTCTTGAAAGTATTAAATATACACATGCATAGCCCTGAAACCGTGTGTGGCATGTGGCTTAAAGGTCAGCAAATGTGGCTAACAAATTTATGATTTTTGAGTACTAGGATTGATTTCCCCCAATGGATGGCTATTAAACAAAATTGCTTTTGTGGTTTCTGGATAAAGGTATGTGAGTCGCACCATGGGAGAGATTGGGGCCTCATCAGATAATGTCCCCAGAGAGAGTAGTGATACAGTATAGCAAACCTTCATTGTGAAGAAGGCACATAAATTATTATTATAACCCTGAAGGTGCTGAACAAGAGATCACATATGAGAGGAGTTCAGCAAACAATTTGAATAGAATGAGTTAACTCTTTCAGTCCTAACTAATGTGCCAGGTGTCATCAGGTATTGCCCGTGAGTACCAAACCATGAACACTTTAACTAATGTTTAGCTTAATAATACTATAAAAACCTGGCTAGTTACACTAATATCTCTTGGTATTTGTGTTGCTGCACCTGTGACAGTAATGCTCTCACACGTTGTTTATATTCATTGTATCTATTGTTACCTTGGAATTGTTCAGATAAATGTTCTTGTGCTTGAAGAGTTAATGTAACAACTCTCTATGTCAGAATAGAGCTATTATATTATTTTGTAAGTGACAAAAAGAAATGTATGGTTAGTTGTTTTGGAATGCAAAGAGTCAATGACATCACGGAAAAAGTGCTTTTCACTCACCTGCATCAACATAACTTCTTCCTGAATTTGCTGGTTGACAACAGCCTCCAGTCTCACTTCCTCTGCTAACCGGCACCAGTGGGGACTCACACATAATGCATTGTAGAGCGATACTGTGTCCAACATGCCCAGGATCATCTTTGACAAGTGCACTGGGAGGTAGCGGATAAAATCTTTATGCTCTGAAAAACTTGCAGCAGTCCCTGCTGACGAAGACATCTCCAGCAAAAGAGGAACCAAACTACCACTTGAAGAATCACTGAATGAGTCTGACAGTACTGTATTCTTGCTTTCTTCAGAAAGAAAATCTGTAGTAAAGTGGTTATTTACTACTGGACTAGATTCTGACTGAAATATGAATTGAAAATCCAGATCAGGATATTTTCCTGGTTCTTGTAAACACTCACTTGATTCAGCAGATGGAGCTTCATCTTTGTTTTCTCCTGTAAGATGACAGTACTTTATTAATAAAATAATGCAAGTAGAACGTGTTTATCTGAGGTAAAGCTGTGAGAATACAGTGAATGACAGGTAAAACATAAGTGGGCAAAGATCAACTTTTTATGACTGCAATCACCCACCCACGCAAACCCACACATAAAATAACAGAAAAATATGAAAGCTTGGTGACAACCAGGGCTTTTTGCTAGAAAAAAAAAAAAAAGGAACCAGTACTCACCACAACACTTCTTTGAAAAAAAAAAGGTGCCAGTACTCATCACAAAGTATCTATCACATCTGTGCTGAAACAATGATGCCTATGAAAGAAAGGTGTCAGTGCGACATACCATCAGAAAAAAGCTTTAGTGACATTATCACTTCATCAGCAAATACAAATTATAACAGAAGTTACACTAACATAATTATACAAGATATAAGTTAAGGTACATAGCTGGACATCCATCTGATTCAGGAAGATGAAGGAATATACATGGAGATAAGGAATAAAGTAATATTTAGTGAGAGAGGAAAGGAAAGGCTACTGTTAAAACACTGTTGAAAGGGTTGTGACTACATTATGTTGAAAATTTGACTCACTTGATAGGTTTCCAATAATAAATAGAAAACTGGAGACAAGTGTGGAATTGATGGTGTTTAGAAATTATATGTAAATAAGAATAACAACAAAATGACCTGGCCAGTGGTGTTCTGGTGAAGATGTGACAGGCTGAGCAAGCTGCCAGTGGATTCATTACAATACAAAGAATACAATAACACATACAGGGACCATCAAATAGCATTCAACTATGGCAATGTTAAAGGACAATAATACAGAAAAAAAAAAGATGTACAGCAAGAAGTAGATCAAGACAAGATGGAAAAATAGCATCAGAGAAACTTAACTCTTTGAGTCCCAGAGGGTTTAGCATCACAGGCCCAAGGGGTAGTCAAAAGAGACATAAAATCGGCGCATCATGCGTTCACTGGGCTTCTATGCAGTAACCTATGAACGTATGATGCGTTCCTTGGGACTCAAAGAGTTAACAACAGCATTATTTATCTATGATAAAGGTGACAAGAAAAGCAAGAAGCAAAATCTGATATTTCCTTCAACATCTAAAGCGGTGAAAAAACGTAACATTGAGAGCTACAACACAAAACAGTCTGTAAAATTAACTTGAGCAGTAATCAAGTAACTGTTCTATTTCCATGCTTTAAGGCATATTATGCATGCAGTGTCTGTCCCATAATTTTATAGATAACTTGGATAACAGGGAATAGGGTCATTATATCATCAGCTGTCTGTACTTATAGGACATTTCTTATGACCCATTTTAGGCTGAGCTGACCTAAGAACTCAGATCATTTTTAAAAATCTGCCTCAAAGGGAATTTGAATCTATGATCCCCAAGCAAGTCTGCTAAATTGCCATGACTTTCTTGTAGTTTATTGGTTAACAGAATCACTGACAGAGTATGGACTTTAACATGCATACAAATGCCTTATCTTCAACCAAAGTAAATGATTGTCTTGTGGCTAGCAGTGCTTTTTCCAGATGTTGCTAGACCCATATTTTTAACAGACCAATTTTCTTATTATTATTATTCATCGGCTGTAATCTCCTGCAGAAGGTTCTGTTTTTTTTCGTCAACTTCTGGACTTTGGTCTTGATCCAGAATTTGAACTTTGCATGCACATCCATTTTACAGATCTAGCTTATTTGTGTGCAGACTGTTGGTCCCTTGCCTCTCAGGCAGATACACAGAGACTCTAAAGGAAACACCCGTAATTAGTTACCTTGTGTGACATGCTTGTTATGGTGGCATTGGGTGTATCCCCCTCCCCACCCCAAAGGGGCCTCAGAGACCACAAATGAATGGTATGGGGTATACATTATAGACTGGGTTGACCACAGAGCCAAGTCAATTTAAAATAAATTAATTTTCATGCATTTGACCCACAATGAGGTCTAAATGATTAATCTGAATTTCCTGAATGGGTTCTGGGGCCCCATTTTGGAGGCAACAGAATAAACCACAACAAGCATGCCCTAAAAGGTGACTAATTAGGAATATGCTGAAATCAGAATGGTGCAGATGTCACAGTCTAGCTGTGAACCACAACACAATGTGCCAACAGCCCTTTCAAAGGTGAATGAAGAAGAGGATAAGAATGTATTTGAATAAAGATGAAATCAGTCACCAGCATACCTGAGAGTGTTTGTGCAGATCGGAGCTGTGAAGCCAACAGTGTATGTGCTTGATTATACAAAGTGTGCAGTAAGTGAGCCTCACACATTTGCAGACAGCTGAGTGTGAAGTTTAACTGAGTCCAGGAATTTGCACATGAAAACCACCTCCACATAGCCATGATAAACTGCCCAATCATGTTTGCATTAACAGCATGATCTGAACCAAGTGTGGCAGTATCTGTATCTAAACTGGGGTTTGTCCTAGCTCTGGCATAAATGCAATCTTTAGTTAAAATGGGATTTAGTAACGCAACTATATTTTGTAGAGTAGCTGTACTTTTGATTTGTCTAAACAACCCTAGCATGAACTGTTTCTTTGAGGTATCTCCAAAATGGAAAAACCATTCTTTAAAACGTATTAATTTCTGTACTAGTAAACAAGCTTCACAATTCCCACAGGCTGCACCTTTTGCTGAAGCCGTACATGGCCGTCCAGACATTTTATGCAGGCTACCTGTTTGATGCAGGCTACCTGTTTGATGCAGGCCACCTGTTTGATGCAGGCTACCTGTTTGATGCAGGCTACCTGTTTGATGCAGGCTACCTGTTTGATGTAGGCTACCTGCATCATGTTCACTCTGAACTAACACATTTTTCATGTTCCCTAATAATAAACAGAATAAAGTCAGAATAACACTTTGGCACTTTAGAGCTTTACGTTTTCTAGAACGAGAGATTAAATGGTGTGATTATTTGTTATTCTTTGTTGTATAACCTCATGCTGCGCATATTTGTACAATACAAGTCGATGAAAAATGTAACTGAGCCAACAAATTATAATTCTGGCATTAATATTCCATTACTAAGTTTGTTTACATTATGTCCACTTTGATATGTGTAACAGTTTTGATAAAAGTGGCCAAAAATAGCGTCAATGAATTTATTAGTACAGTATGCATCATACTACATTGTTTTATAAGTTAAAAGTGGAATGGAATCGAGTAGCTTTGTCTTCCTTTACATAAGGATAATCTATGCACTAATACTGTAAGTTCTCTCTCCTGCACCGTTTTCTCCCAGCATTATGAGTGCCGAAAGCCTACTACAACTTGGGCTATATAATGCAACAATACAACACACGCACCTTCTGATATGACCACTCATGCTCGTTTGTGGGCCTTGATAACGCCTCGTTGTGTGCTGGCTGACGCCGTCACCAAGGAAACGCGGTGTTTATACAACAGAGTGGCTTACCCTTAGGTTTTAAATTAAAAACTCATTTTATCTGTTTAAACAGTTTCTTCTTTCTATTTTCTTCTGTATTTCTTTACAAAAATAAATTCTCAATTGTTACCAACATGAATTTATTTACTTTAACTAGGTAGAAAAACAATGGAAGCTTTGTTTTTTCAAAATATGTGACTATGTTGCACAGGAAGTCGCATTCGTAGTTTGACGGCGCGCTTAGCAACGCAAGCCTGAAAGTTCTGGTGACAATAGTGTAGTGTAAATAAAAACGCTAAACAACAATATAATATGATTCTGGGTGTCACCCAGAAGCTGCGTAGTTTTTAGCAGAACGGCTACACTGTTGTAATACTTTTAGATCTACTCGTTTGCAAAGGCAAACACAATCACACCAGAATGGCGCTTGAGCGAGCCAAGGTAAGTAGAATTCGCCACGATCACAATTCTGATTATAGAAGATTAAATTAAAATTCATAATCTTACAGGACACTAGACTGTTAATTGAATCTGATTGCAGAGTCCAACATTTTACACCCAGTGTCACTTTCTTCTTTGACTTCTTCTTCTCCTCTTCTTCTTCTTGTCTTCTTGAGTTTTTCTTCTTCTTCCCCTCCTCCTCTTTTACTTTGTACGTCAGCGAAATGTCGGGGGGAGATGTAATGTTCGTTGATGAGTTCTATCAAGAGCACTATTAAGATTGATGTTAATTTCTGTAAGGTTGTTCTTAATTCCATCACTCCAAATTTTCCGAGGTCTTCCTTTTGCTCTATACGTTCTGTAACGTTTCGATGTGGCTCGCTGTGGTAGACAGTACCAGGGCATTCTTGTTAGGTGTCCAAACCACTTCATCTGTTGTTCTTTGATGACCTGTAAGACTGGCTTTATTCATAGCATCTGTCTGATTTCATATTCTGGCTTACTGATTTCATATTCTGACTTAAATACTCTGTGGTATCTGCTTGGGTGTCAACAGGGGAGAGATTTGCCCCATTACTTGATTAGCTTTGGCACATCTCAAGCTAATTTCTCTATCCAGTTCTTTAGCAAACTGAATTTGGTGAGTGATATAGTGACAGTAGGGTTCAAACATTTTAATTTTATTGAAGACCTGCTGGAGAGACAAATGTAGTAAATTAAATATTCTATAATTTTTATAGAAAAAATAATGACCTTTCTCACATGCTATATAAAGCGAATTTTAATATATTTCCCTGAATCCTGGACAATTAATAAACAAGCTAAACTGTTTTTGAGGCCTCTGAGATGTTTTTCATTGGTCAGAAAAAAAGCAACCCAGATGTCTCACCCCAAAGGTGAGTACTCAAAGACAACTTATCATAAACATCAGAAAGAGACGGTCATAATTTTTTGAATGTCAGTTATGAGAAGACATAAACTGAAACATGTTGTGACCACTGGCAAGATCTGTGGAAAGAGAGGCAGAGGAAGGCAATGTGAGAACATTATTGACAGCCTTTTGGCATGGTATTGAGGATTGTTGTCATCACATAAACAAAGTTCTTTAGTCAAGTGATGTGAAAAGGAGCACTGGAAAATATTGTGATGATTAGAAAGATCACTGGTAGCAGAGGCAGACCAAGATAAATAATCATGGATGGCTTAAGACAGTGGCATGGAGGAAAATCATCATGGGAATTGATCCAGAGCACCAAAGACCGAGATTTATGGACATGTATGAATGGCTACTCCATCTGGCATGGCACTTGATGATGATGATGATGTCTGCTAGTAGATATTCTGAGATTGCAGTCGGTGTAAATTTTTCCTCGAGAAACAGTGATGGACATTCTGTGTGTTTTTTGTTGCAACAGGAGTGGAGCAACTATGGGGGTGATTCATTTTGCTGTGAAGCTCAAACTAAAAATACCAAGATGATTTGACAAAGCATTTACCCAGATAATGTAAACAAATGCTGTGAGATTTTAATTGTTGTTTTCTGCTTCAGCTGTGTGAGACACCCGTCTTCAGCAGCAGTCAGGTGAAAGGCCTTCCTGGGCTGCCGCCACTTCCAGCTGAAGGGAGCAGGGAGCCATCTGACCTGTATAAGGTAAGCTGAAGGTGCTAGAATTGGTTTTGCAGGAAACTAATTCTGTATTGAGGGTCAGCATCTTATAATTTTGCTGAAAACAGTGGTTTTAGAATATCATTGATGAAAAAGAAGAACATACTGATATTCTACAAGATCTGAACAGGGAAGAAATATAGATCATAAATGGCTTCCAGTCTCAGGAAATACTTTGACAAATTGCAGTTTATTGGCTTAGAAAGAAGAAAGAACAGTACTGCTTTCACTAGCTGTAAACTCCAGCAGAAAGTTCTGGTTGTTTATCCACTTCTGGACTTAAGTCTTGTTCCAGAATTTGAGTGTTGCAGGCACATCCATTTTACAAATCTTGCTTATTTATGTGCAGACTATTGGTTTACCACCTCTCATGCAGTTTGTAGTTTACATGTGGCAGATGACATTGATCTCATGGCTTGTTCTGAAACAGAATTCCAAGAACTTACTATAAAACTAGAGATAGTCTGTGGTAAATATGGGCTGGCCAATAATGCATAGAAAAGCAAGATACTGGTAAATAGCTGTGACAGTCGAGTACCTACCAACATGTAGATAAAAGAGAAGAAAAACAGAAGAAGCGTAAACCTTTAAATACCTTGGCTCCCATGTATGTAACAATACCAAGGAGATCAATACCAAGACTTGATATGGCAACAGCAGTGATGTCCTAGCTGAATACAATGTGGAAGAGCAAAATCAGCATGGCAGTAAAGGTCAGAATATACAAATCACTTGTATTGTCTTATCTATTGTCTGATATGGATATGAGAGTTGGACTTTTATTGCGAGAATGGAAAAAACGATTCAGGCTTTGGAACAAAGGATATGTTATTTGAGGAAAATAAATGAAACAAAACAATTATAAATTAAATAATTATATAAAGTACTTCATGCTGACATATTCTTTATGCTTTTCCTGTCTGTTTTAGACTTTCATAACTTTATTGCAGTCAACTCGTTTCGTTGATGAAAGTATTGTACTCAATATGCATATACATTTGCAGCATCATTGGCAGCAGTATAAAAGTATCACTTTCTGTTAATTTGTTTACCAGTCTGTCATCATCAGTATTATTTTGTCATGCTGTTGTATGCCACAAAGTTCTCCCTTATGTTCTGTTCTGAGGTGTGCTTTTGACATCATGAACACAATCCAGTCAACCATCTTTGACCTATTTAAACAACATTCACCTTAGGATTTATCTCTGACATCCTCATTGCCTCAGTTCATTTGATTCATGTTTCAGTACCTGTTTAGTTATTCTCTGGCCACTTCTCATGATGTGTTGAGTAAAATACCATCTTCCCTTCCATATAACCATTGAATTAAACTATCTGTGACAAAGTTATCTATCCCTACATGGAAGATGGCGTCTGAACACTGGACACACAAAAACTAACAGAAAGAACAGTACTGCTTTCACTAGCTGTAAACATTTTCTCATTAACTGTGAGAAGCATAACAGATTCACAGAACAAACAATGAAAGGGAAAGCAGATTATTTGAGGAAGCAAGATCATCCATGAGACACCTAACGACAAAGTTTCATAAGAGAAGCTAGAAGGTTTAAACTAAAGTCCATACACAATAGGGACAAAATTCTGCACATTAGGAATCAGATACAAGCACTAAGTGATGAATTATAGCACACACACAAAGCAGTGACAGTGACAATATAATAGAAAGAAAAATAACATAAACCTGAGGTGTAACTTAGTTTTTAGTAAGGTTTCACTAATTAAAACATTTGATCATGTAGAGAGAAAAATCAAGGTTTCTGTGTGACAATGTCTCACTACATTTCTTCTTCTTCTTCGTCTTTTTCTTCACATTTGCAGGCTGTTAACTCCGGCGAAAAAATTCTGGTTGTTCCTCCACTTCTGGACTCTAGTCCTGTTCCAGAAACTGAGTGTTGCGTGTACATCCTTTTCACAGGTCTGACTCATTTGCATGCAGACTATTGGTTCCTTGCCTCTCAGGCAGATGTACTCCGACTTCGAAGGAAGCTCCCAATTAGTCGACAGTTACGACATGCTTTTGGACAGGCAGTGGGTCTATTCTAGTTTTCCCCACAATGGGACCCTTAAACCCATATGGGGATCACAATATTAGATGATTTACTTTCAAAACAGTCAATAAATGTTAGGTCCTGTCCTTTTGTAATTCACTTGATAATGTGATTATGAAATCATTCTGGTGAACTTAGTGAACTCCTGGTACAATCTGAAATTTTTTGTGTTATCTCCCGACAGATTGTTCTTCGCAACAGTGAGCATCCACCGCTTATGAAAGGTACATCATGGACTTTGGCGTCTCCTTTCAAAGAA